AAAAAAAAAAAAAAAAACAAGCTGAGAAACTATTGAAACTCACACAATTGATATGGTCCACAATGATTAGCTTGCTGAATCAATACCCATCTGTGAATCAAATACCTATTGAAGGTGATAATTGGTACCATGCCCATCAGCACACCCCCTTTTCATTATTAGAATTTATTCATCAATGAAGAGGAATTGATGATCTTATAATCTTATAGTCCATATGAAGTAGCCAAAAGATCAACCTAGGATAGTAGGATATCATCTCATTTGCCCATTACACAATGCAAAATTGGGTTATAATAGGATTTACTCTCGTGTTAGATTACTTGTAACTCTCCTAATGCTATTTTGCTCACCAACAATGAGTGGAATATCCGTTTGAATGTCAGCGATTTTTCCTGTATTTTGTGTTATTTTAATTTAATGGATAGAAAGTTAAATCATGAGATCACTCTAGACTTAAGTGATCACAATGAGAAGATGGTGAAAGAGATTCAAACTCCCGATCTTTAGGTTCAACACCAAGATTATTAGCTATTAGACCACCACAGAATCCTCAAGTGATCACAGGCTATTCATATAGAAACACTCCAAAAAAAAAAAAAAATGAAATCTTAGAAGGATCCACCATGATTAATTCCCTGATAATGAAGTCACATAGAGGTAGGTGCAAGTACAAAAATGGGTACCCACACAATTGATTCTGGCTTTATATAGAAAGATTTGATTGACTTCCTCACAACTCCAATACCAAATCCTTGCAACAAATTGCAAAAACTCTAATGCCATACACAAGATTTTTCCTCTTTATACATCTAGGATTTAGCTATGATACCAAAAAATAATTTTTAATATCATATTTTATTTTTTTATTTCATAAAATTATAACCCATATATTTTTTAATTTATAATTACAAATCATTGAAATATATATCAACAACTATACATGAATTTTTACATAATACTTTCGCAATATCATAACCTAATCAAAAAGAAAAGTACATCCATTTTGAGGCTTAGAAAAGATTAAAAGTATGTAATTATATTTTGTATATCAAAAGTTATTTCTAAAATTCAAGACGTAATATATAAAAAAAAATCACTATAGAATAATCTTAATAAACAATCTTGTAGCTATTAAGCAAAATATGAAGATCAAATTGTCTTGCTAATATGACTACTTTATACCCATAAAAGTTTCACTTTGGCAATAGTCAAAATCCTAATTTTTTTTAGCTCAATAGTCAAGTCCGAACTAAATTATAGGAACTTCGATTAATTTTCTTCTCGATTTGGTCAAAAATAGACTATCCACGTCGAGACTAAAAAAATTATAAGAGATACATTTTTCATTGTCAAACTCCAAAAGATTATCAAAGATCGAACTCATAACGTCTGAATTTATAACTCGTTTTTTTTATTATAATTTGAGTTATTTTGAGGTAAAAATCTTTTCTTTTTTTTAGTTTTAATCACGCAGACTAATTAACCCGAGGATTAGGTTAATAACCAGCTGACAAGAAGAAAGAGACACGATTATATTCTCATAATTACAGGTTTAGCAGTTAGAACTGATAAACAAAGACAATTTCATTACTCTCCCTCTCCCTCTCCCTCTCCCTCTCCCTCTCCATACGTCTCATTACTCAATTTCCTATTAAACATAACGCAACAGTATTGACCAAGTCTGTCTGACCTCCTCTTTTCTCTCGCCAGTCAGCTCATTGTCCGGCTCCCTCCAAATTTCTGCTATATTTGGCAGCAACTTTATTTTCTTCAGGAAAAATGAATTGTCTAGGTTGTACACCACACCTGTCATTTAGTAGATGAAGTATCGCATTTCCAAACACAAGAATACCATCATCTCTTCNAAAACATTTGTGATTAATCCTAACGTTTCAAGAACCATCTCGAATTTTTTCGGCCCTATTAAGTGGTACACACCACACAGACTTATGTAAATTCTAATTTATTCTTGTTTACTTGTAAATTTTTGATATGATATATTCTTTGAAACAATAATAATAAAAACATTAGCCGAAGAAAAGGACAGAATACTAGGTCAATGGTCAAGAGAAAAAACTATATTATTAACTTATTCCTTGATGTACTATTGTGCAGAATCCATACTTCTGTGGTTTATTAGTTAGATGGTGAACTAAACAAGGTGTAGGACAATAGGCTTTGTGGAACTGAACAAATAAAAAATAGATTACGAGAAGAGAGAGAGAGAGAGAGAGAGCTTTTTGTCTTGATTGTCAGTCTGTCAGGCACACAGCCATATTCCCGCAACCCCACAACAGACCCATATCCAAGAGATGACATTTGTGTCCCAAATAATTAGTGGTTTGTCTATCTAACACTTAATACCCTCCTCTTGCTAAAAATTTAATAGAGGGGTGGTTCGGTAATTAAACTTAATTTTTTTGATAATTTAAAGGTCTTAGTTTAATTTTTTTTTAAACTCCATGAGAATTATTCAATGTTGTTCCTTTAAAAACATGTTTTAACCAAACTCAAAGACTAGGCGGGGTAAACTTGTACACCTCATAGTTAAAAAAAAAAAAAAACCCAAGCTGAGAAACTATTGAAACTCACACAATTGATATGGTCCACAATGATTAGCTTGCTGAATCAATACCCATCTGTGAATCAAATACCTATTGAAGGTGATAATTGGTACCATGCCCATCAGCACACCCCCTTTTCATTATTAGAATTTATTCATCAATGAAGAGGAATTGATGATCTTATAATCTTATAGTCCATATGAAGTAGCCAAAAGATCAACCTAGGATAGTAGGATATCATCTCATTTGCCCATTACACAATGCAAAATTGGGTTATAATAGGATTTACTCTCGTGTTAGATTACTTGTAACTCTCCTAATGCTATTTTGCTCACCAACAATGAGTGGAATATCCGTTTGAATGTCAGCGATTTTTCCTGTATTTTGTGTTATTTTAATTTAATGGATAGAAAGTTAAATCATGAGATCACTCTAGACTTAAGTGATCACAATGAGAAGATGGTGAAAGAGATTCAAACTCCCGATCTTTAGGTTCAACACCAAGATTATTAGCTATTAGACCACCACAGAATCCTCAAGTGATCACAGGCTATTCATATAGAAACACTCCAAAAAAAAAAAAAAATGAAATCTTAGAAGGATCCACCATGATTAATTCCCTGATAATGAAGTCACATAGAGGTAGGTGCAAGTACAAAAATGGGTACCCACACAATTGATTCTGGCTTTATATAGAAAGATTTGATTGACTTCCTCACAACTCCAATACCAAATCCTTGCAACAAATTGCAAAAACTCTAATGCCATACACAAGATTTTTCCTCTTTATACATCTAGGATTTAGCTATGATACCAAAAAATAATTTTTAATATCATATTTTATTTTTTTATTTCATAAAATTATAACCCATATATTTTTTAATTTATAATTACAAATCATTGAAATATATATCAACAACTATACATGAATTTTTACATAATACTTTCGCAATATCATAACCTAATCAAAAAGAAAAGTACATCCATTTTGAGGCTTAGAAAAGATTAAAAGTATGTAATTATATTTTGTATATCAAAAGTTATTTCTAAAATTCAAGACGTAATATATAAAAAAAAATCACTATAGAATAATCTTAATAAACAATCTTGTAGCTATTAAGCAAAATATGAAGATCAAATTGTCTTGCTAATATGACTACTTTATACCCATAAAAGTTTCACTTTGGCAATAGTCAAAATCCTAATTTTTTTTAGCTCAATAGTCAAGTCCGAACTAAATTATAGGAACTTCGATTAATTTTCTTCTCGATTTGGTCAAAAATAGACTATCCACGTCGAGACTAAAAAAATTATAAGAGATACATTTTTCATTGTCAAACTCCAAAAGATTATCAAAGATCGAACTCATAACGTCTGAATTTATAACTCGTTTTTTTTATTATAATTTGAGTTATTTTGAGGTAAAAATCTTTTCTTTTTTTTAGTTTTAATCACGCAGACTAATTAACCCGAGGATTAGGTTAATAACCAGCTGACAAGAAGAAAGAGACACGATTATATTCTCATAATTACAGGTTTAGCAGTTAGAACTGATAAACAAAGACAATTTCATTACTCTCCCTCTCCCTCTCCCTCTCCCTCTCCCTCTCCATACGTCTCATTACTCAATTTCCTATTAAACATAACGCAACAGTATTGACCAAGTCTGTCTGACCTCCTCTTTTCTCTCGCCAGTCAGCTCATTGTCCGGCTCCCTCCAAATTTCTGCTATATTTGGCAGCAACTTTATTTTCTTCAGGAAAAATGAATTGTCTAGGTTGTACACCACACCTGTCATTTAGTAGATGAAGTATCGCATTTCCAAACACAAGAATACCATCATCTCTTCCTCGAGCCCCTTACTCAGTTACCTCTCCCTCTCCCTCTCTCTCTCTCTCTCTCTCTCTCTCTCTCTCTCTCTCTCACTCACCGTTCTCTCTGCTAGCTTCAGCCTGTTAGTTTAGTACAATAATATACCAAATCACTGTTCCAACTAAACCCTCTCCTATGGAGTTGTTTAGCAGAGAAATGAAATAGAAAAGGAAACAAAAAAGGAAAAAAAAAAAGAGAAAAGAAGACCTCTTCTCTGTCACGGCGACAGGTCTCTCTCTCGCCTTCTGCGAGTGTGTGACCACCTCTTTTCTTAGCCTAACCCAACTTTACTCTCTCCCTCTCTCTGACCTCTTTTGCTCGAAATGGCTAGAGGGCTTGCTTGTTGCTTTGCCATTAGGAATGAGTCGGTTTAAAGCGCCTCTAAAAGGCACATTTTCCTCCATATTTCCCACAAAATCCCGGTGAAAACCAAAAAAAACTCCACTTTAGCTCAACCCACTTCTTTTCCACACACATTCCTCCAAAAAACCGCCTTTTTTTCTATCATGTCTAACCCACCTTCCAAAGCATAGGGTAGAGCTCTAATTTTAGCAAGGGAAGGAGATGGGGTGTGTTGCCTCCAAGTTAGAGGCAGAAGAGGAAGTAGTGTCCATTTGTAGGGAGAGAAAAAGCTTGCTAAAATCAGCTGTAGAGAGAAGATATGCCCTCGCAGATGCACATTGTAGATACTGTCAAGCACTCTATGGAGTATCAGCAGCTATAAGGCTATTCGTTGCTCGCCATTCTTCAGCTTCTTCACCATTTCTCATCACCTTCCCACCACCTTGTCCACCATCTCCACCCAAAGAAAATGTGGTTTCAAACCCATTGTTCCTTCAACAAACACGAACCGAACCAACCCAGGAAGCCATTGGCTGTGAATCATGCGATTCTTCAACAACTTCAGAGTCTTCTCATGAAGAAAGAGAAGAAAAAGTAGACAGAGAGGAGCAGGTTTGTGGGTATTTTTATATGGAAATGCCTCCACCATTGCCATCGCCACAGAGAGATTTTGGGTGGGATTTTTTTAACCCTTTTATTGATGGAAGGCCAGAGATAATAAGCGGGTACAATAGGAACTCAGATGATGATTTAAGGGTTGTAAGAGAACAGGAAGGAATTCCAGAGTTAGAAGAAGAAGAAGAAGAAAAAGAAGAAGGGGACAAGATCAAGGAAGAAAATAAGGTTTTGGCTGAAGAAAAAGAGAATGTGGAGCATGAAGAGAATGAGGTTGAAGTGGTTATGGCAGTGGATGGTGCTAATCTGAGCCGAAGGGAACAGAAGGGTTTAACAGTTATAGATATACCAATAAGAGGGAGGGAATTGTTGGAAGCACTTACAGATATTGAGGACCATTTCATTAGGGCTTATGATTCTGGCAAGGATGTATCCAGGATGTTAGAGGCTAATAGGGTTCATTTGCAATCAGGTTTGGAAGAAATAAAAGGTTGAACTCTCCCCCTTTTTTTTTAACCTGTTGCTGAACAATTTTTGTGTTGTTTATTATTATCTTTTTTTTTTTTTTTT